CAGACACTCACTCTTTGCACATATGCGTTTGTTTTTTTCTCTACTTCTGGTTTGTCGTTTTTCGTTTCTGTTTTTTTTCCTTATTGTGTTATTCTTCATTCCCTTGTTTGCTTTCTTGTTTATGTTGTGCATCTACGTTATATTTTTTACTTTCTGTTTAAAAATGTTTTTCTAGTGAACCCTACATGTATTAGTTTATGTTAATTTTTTTTAGTGCTGCCTTTCTAACTGTTGATTGTCTACTGATTGTATTGTTTACTCTTTTCTATAGTTGCACTGTGAAATCACTTATGATACAGAGACTCGTCAGTATTCCTTATTGGATAGAGGCTCCAATTTCAGTACAACTATTAATGGCATCACATTACCTCGGGTAATTAATTGCTTGTTAATAGAGTTTAAATTTTTCTTAATAATGAATTACTTTACGTGTATTGATATTTCACATTTTAAATTCGAATGGATATGAATATAACTTGTTTTGTTGCATAATGCTTTTTTGTTGCTTCACTCACTAACAATCAGTCTACTAAGTCAAAGTCAAATAGTCACATTACTGTCTACTGTATATTCCTAAATTGTTTATAATTACAATTGACTTTGGCTGTTACCTTAAACTTCCTCTGATTACTGAAGTCCTGTGAGAATAACATAAACGCATACACATATACACACATAGTACCAAATATTTTACATGCAAGGATTCTTATTCATACTGTAAATCGAATCAGCATATCTGGATGGAACTGTCTTCTTTTCTACTTCTCACTTATCGTAAATAATTTCACATTCAATCATTGTCATCAAAAGAACTTGGCGCCAGAGTATCATTGAGTAACAGAAAATCACCTTAGAACACGGCACTTTGCTAGAATATTTGTACGACCGGTTTTCTAACATCAAAATCTTTCAACAAGTTACGACTTTCTATTCGTTTGAACATGTCAATTACATATCTATTAATCACTTATTCTATTCAGATGTATATTTGAATAATTACGGGCTATCGTTTCATAAGGCTACAAAAAACAACAATTCAAGAGTAGCATTCTGATGAACAGAGAATTTTAGTGGTGAGAGACACCAGATTGACTATGATCACCACTGAATGTTCCATACTATCCCGTCACATATATCAAAATAAATGCATGTTTAAATATTTTATTGAAGGAGAAAGTAGGCATTACATAGGGAGCAGCGTGTTTGGAAAAATGGCAGCAACACGAGAAGAACGTTGCGCGCAAGAAGTGTTTTTGGTACAGTTAAACAACACGAGTACAATAATGTTTATTTTTCACAAATCGTATTTTCTTCGTAGAAGCGTTCCACTACAGAATGAACCTTAATAAGATATTGATTCTTGACCTGAGTACTTTCATCTGTCAATCATTCCGTGTTGATAATTCCATATTGTTGTACCAAACATTGAAAAAACAAACAGGCATTCTTATTTCAGTTGCTAAGATTGGTTTTTCTTTCTGAGAAAAATATGCATAAACATGCCAATGGTTAATCAAATTTTATTCTTGTTGGGGATGTTAGATCCCCAGAACTCGCTTGAGAAATGCCATAACTTGGATTTCAAGTTTGCCAGCATGGGCTGATCAGTTGGCCTTGAGATTTCATTTCCCACCAGGAAAGTCCTTGGCTGTGATTGGCTGCTGTGTATTTTAGTGTGCTATTTTCTTAACTGTCCCAAGGACGTTTCTATGATGTATAAATAAACGAGAGTTGTATGCTTGATTGTACTGTAATTGCTGAGTGTTTGTAGAATATACTTTCTACGCTTATAAAGCCTTTTTACTTCAGCTTTGGATTCAAGGTAGCCTACCTGGACGCTGGTAAAAGTCTCGTTCGCGTTTATCGACTAAGGTAAACTCGTAATAGCCTCGAGCATACTTAGTGACGAACATAACAATTCTGCTCAGTTTTTCTAATCTTTTTTCTTTTAACACTTTAACGTGAATAATTTTTTTATGACAAAATATATTTTTCTAAATGTTTGTTTCGCTTTTTACTTTATTTCAGTGTAAATCATCAGTATTATGTCATGGTGATATAATACGACTGGGATCAACTCGTCTACTTGTCCATATACATAATGGTAATGAAACATGTGGACAATGTGATCCAGATGAGATGAAAGCTGCTTTGAATTCATTTATTGATACGAATGAAACAATCAATTCGGACAGCCATGCGAATGATAATAATAATGATAATGATACTGGTGCAGAAAAACTATCTGAAACTATACTAAGTAATGAATTAGTGCCAACAAATTTTCATATGCATACATTACACATTTGAAATAATGAGTTGATCAAAGTTAGACCACCATTAGAAGAAACCTAGAAGCACTGGACGGCCGTTTCGTTCAGGTATCGGACTCATCAGATAATGGTGGTCTAACTTTGATCGACTCATGAGTTCAAATGTGTAACTTAACAGTGTTGACAACCCTCGTAATGCAATTAATTACCTGTGCCCAATAGTGACTAGCTTCGTGAGAAAATCTTCTCCGAGTTCTAGTGGGAAGTCGTGACCAGTTAAGTTCAACCTGTTCGGGTGTAGACAGTAACTACCGAAGACAATGTATGAGGTTTCGCAAGTCCGTGAACTGATCGAAGTTAGACATTAACACCGTTAGATAACGGCTCAGTAGTCCAAAGGTTAGGCGTTCGTACACAATACCGAAGGTCTTGGGTTCGAATCCTGCGAGGTGCAGGAGTTGTGGGTGCTCACTGCTGATGAGTCCGATACCAGGACGAAACGGCCGTCCAATACTTCTAGGTTTCTAATGGTGGTCTAACTTTGATCGACTCATGAGTTCAAATGTGTAACTTAACAATCTTCACAACCCCATAATCAAATATGTGTACGAAAAAATCAGTTTCAACTTAGAGATTATGGAATGTATTGTGTTGACTATTAGACAACTATACAATTAATTGATTAACATCAAATCATCTCACTATATAAAGCCAACAGATTAAATTCAGTAGTGTGAACCATTAAACTACTCACTGCTCACTATTACTATTAATAAGCGGAACTAACTTAATCATGAAATAGTTGTTAACATTGTTTCCGATTTTCTTCTGACTACTTTTATTTTTTTTCTAATTTCATGATGTAAATAATCTTGTATTCATTATAAACTATAAGTTAAGTTTATTTATTTTCTTACGAATAACCAAAGTTTGTTTTGTTTTATTCGTCGTTTTTTTTTGTACTTTTAAATTGATACAATCGAAAATGAAACAGCGCATTCATCAAAAGATGTGGAAAGACGCGCGAAATTAGATGAAATAAAAAAGAAATATGGTTTGAAAGTAAGTTCAGTGTTTCTGTTTTCTTCTTTTTCGCATGATTTGAAATAGTAGACTAAATAAAGACTTTTATGTATGTTAGTACAATTCACCTGCTTGAATAATACAATCTTTTTTATTGTTATATGTTCAATAAATTAATAAATGATCGAATTTATTTTAAATTAATGATTGATATTCAGTTGAAATAGAGCAGCTGTGGAAAAATAAAGTGTGTTGAAGGATTACTGATTTGTGGTTAATTTGTTTTGGTATAGAGAAATTAAACTATTAGATCGTATAGATTTGAATTTGTAGATTAGTACTTTTATATATAGAGAAGTGAAGCAGTTGTGCGTGTTGACCGCTTCACTTATCTGGGAAGTCTTATCAGTGCTGATGGCCTGGTGTGAGACGAAATCTCAGCACCGGATACAGAAGGCTCGATTGGCTTTTGCCAACCTGCGTCACTTATAGTGTAAGCAAGATGTCCGTTTGCTAACCAAAGGGCGAGTGTGCTGCGCAGTAGTTCGCTCCGTCCTACTATATGGATGCGAAACATAGGCAGTAAGAGTCGACGATGTTCGTAGGTTACTGGTTTTCGATCATAGGTGTCTCCGAGGCATTGCTCGACTATTGTGGGACAGTCGAGTAAAGATGGTAAAGATGGCAGATCAATAGATGAAGTGGTGAAACTTCATCAGTTGAGGTGGTTGGGACATGTGTTACGAATGCTTAACCACCGACTACCTCGTCGATCCATGTTTTGCGATTTAGGAATAGGTTGGAAGAAAGCTAGGGGCGGCCAAATCAAAACTTGGCACAAATCCATGACAGGTGGACTGAGTCATGTCGCTAGGTGTCGTCTACCTGGTTGGGGCCCGCCAGATAATATTAATCGATGGTTAGAGACTCTGAATGACATGGCTCGAAACCGTTTGCAATGGCGCAGGTGTATTCATTCTTTGTTTTCTCTGAATTCATAGTCTTCTGAATTCCTCGTCACTTTATCTTTTTCTTTTTAAGTTTGTTTCACCAGATTCTATTTCTTGAATAATATCGTCGAACCCTAGAATTTCGGATTACTGCTAACTTTTCTACTACCTCTACTACTATGGGATTTGAATGTACAATTTGATCTGTCTGTGTTAATGTGGTGTGGCAACTTGAACTGATCTACGTACGTACGTACATACGAAGTTCTATGTTGCTGTTGACTTGACTGAATATAGAGAATAATAAATAAAAGCCTAGGTTGCATAGAGAGATGAAAAATTTTCGGGTTATTGACAAATATACCAACCATCGGAAATAGATTAAATGGTCATTCATTTCAAGTTTCATCTAAGTTTGATTTTTTATCGACTCAATTCTAGCGCATATTTTTAATAGACTGATTAGAAATCACTTAGCTCTTTCTATTTGACCAACTTGGCTATTTATTGAGAATACACAAATACTTTAAATACAATAAATTTATAATAATTACTTTTTAAGTTATAGATTTTATTGAGATCGTTTAAAAATAAACTGCCATTTTTATAGACACATCTAAATGATCCTACTTAAACATTTATATTCCAACTGAATGATAATTTTTTTTACCCTAGATAGTTTAAGATTGAATGATATACCTAAGAGATCAACCTAACAATTGAGATATTGAAAGCGTTACGTTAACACAGTTATTAGCTTATCACCTCTGTGTGGATCTCAAGGTGTCATACTCATCGTGAGCCTTAAACTATTGAGTTCAATGCCTGCCGTAGTTGTAGACAAGTACTGTTGAGGAGAAGTTTTATACTCGAATGAAATAACTGTTCTTTTTTCTCTGGTTTATACTGATTATTTAGCCAAAATTAATTCATTATTTCTACCGCTTTTGAAGATGAAATGTATTTAACAATTTCGTTTACCTTTTTCTCATTAACAGTTTCCACGAATAAGAACTCAGGCAAAGACAGACAAACAATATATGGATCGTGCTGCACAACGACGTGCAATTGAAGCAAATTTAAAAGCAGCTGGTTATCCATTACCTCCGGCACCAGGTGTAATAAAACAACAAATCAATAAAACTCCACTCATCGCTCGTCCAACACCAGCCAGTGTATATAAACCAATCAGTGATGAAAATAAAGGCGCGAAATTATTAGCTAAAATGGGTTGGACACCTGGTCAAGGATTGGGTAAAAGTAAAAGTGGAATTTCCGAACCGGTAATTAATGCGCATTTATTATTTGTTAGACTTTCTTTATTTTATTTTCAATCTTGCACTGTTGTTGTTGTTGTAATTACTTGTTAATTAACTGATCACTTAGTAAGAGAGATGTTTATGAATTAGGAAATTGAACTTTAAGTACGAATTTACTGAATACTCATTATTGGCTTGTTTCATTATCATCTGTGTGATTTATTCTGCCTTAATTAGTCTGCTAAGATGTCCAGTCAAATGTTTCAGTATTGGCTTTTTGGAGTAAACTATTTTTTGAAAATTTAAAGACGATCATGTTTAATTTTTCTTTGTATTAAGATTCAGTTAGTAAATAAAGGTTTTTTACGTAGAGTGAATCACCTACACTTCATGACTCTTTCACTGGTATCAAACGAATCACATTATTTTTTAAGCAGTGTCATCATTAAAGAGAACCATTATACTGATTACATGTTAACATGACAGATGTAACTGAGCCAGTTATTTGATCTAGTTACCTATTACAGAATTCCGACCGAACAGATTTCAGGCGAAGTAATCATTGGCTGATTGTTTGAATAAATCAGTAAAATTTAACTCCTAAACTATTGAGTCACTATCCTACGCCATATATGTGTACACCATATGCTGTACTGCTATATAGAGCTGAAGGTCGGTCTCCTATGAGACTAGAGGTTCGCTTTGAATATTGTGAATGGCTTTGCTTTGCTTTGGTTAAGCATTGTTAACAGTCCATATACAAAACTGGTTGGCAGGACGACCGATTTCATTGATATAAGTGGTGGTTGTTTTCCCGAGTGCCATTGTCATTGGGGTGCTGTATTACATATCACCATTGCAATTATAATGAGTTTGACAGTCATGTAAGCGGGATGGGTCTAAATGGCCTGTTCATGCGGTGCATATTGATTGACGCGATCATACTTCGGAAATATATATATATACCATTGTGTGTATATGAAATGGTGTGAATGGTCCACCAGGGTATCAGGTACCTGTGTGGTTGCACCACATGATTGAGCCGAACTGTTCATGTAGTAATGGTAAAACGTGAGCACAGTCTCTTTGTTTCCCCTGAAAACCACCAATGTAAAATTGCCCCCTTGACAATACAGGGTAAATTTATATAATTTATATAATTGTCTAAGATCTAATGATACTGTTGAGCCGCTTAAACTAAAATCAGATTCCAATCGACAGGCTAACAACAGTCTAATGCTTCAACCACTAGATCATTCATTATTTTATATTATTAGTAAATTAAAACTATCATTATTAAACAAGAATATTCATACAAAAAAATGGACAACTTCTCAGGATAATATGATTAGTTCAGAACGTATACGAAAATCATACGTCTACTGTAAGTAGACGCTGATATTGTTAAAAACAATTATTCATCTTGGGGGGGGGGAACGTAGTAACAACAAAAGTTTCCTTGAAAAGATGTATTTATTGTACAATCCAAATATTTTAGATTCTTATCGAATGTTTATGAAAAAAATTTAAGAATAAAACGCAATATATGTCGGGCAAATGACTGAATAGTTAAAACAGTTAACAATTAATTCATACAGAATATGACTTGAAGAGTAGTAAACTAGTGTCATATCAATTCATACAAAATTAAAGTATATGCGTTAAAGTCCTACACAAAACCTATTATAAGTTTAAAGTTTCGCATCAATCAATTATCCTTTGAATACCTGATGAAAATTCAAAAGAATAATAATGATAATAATAATTTTCTTTAGTATCAGTTGAGTTTCTTTTCTGTTTCATGAAATACATGTTTGTTCTTTATTGATCTGAAAATATTTATTGATTTCCTTTATTCTTTTAATTCACAATAACTTGCTCTTTTGTATTGCATTGTTACACAATGCTAATAATATGTTTTGAATAATAACAATTTCAGATCACTGTTAGTTTACGTATTAATCCACAAGCTGGTCTTGGTTTAAATAATTCATCGAAAAATCTCGTACCAATTGATTCTACACCGAAAGAATTAACACAAGCATATATTCGTGCAAAAACTAAAGAACGTTTCGATAAATTATTATAATTCAAAGATTATTATTATGTAATGATTGAAAAAATTGACGCATTTATAAATTTGAAATATACAATCAAATTTATGTTTTAGAACAATGGGTTTATTTTTTAATAAATAGAATTTCAATGATCAATTGATTAGTTGTTGTTGTTGATGTTGTTCATTCTTATGTATATGTTATGTTATAGTGAGAGTAGAAGATATTCGTAGTTTACTGGTTTTCGATCATAGGTGTCTTCGAAGCATTGCTCGTATATCCTGGGACACCCGAGTGAGCAACGCTGTTATTAGGAAACGGGTGCTAGGTAAGAATGGCAGGCCAATAGATCAAGTAATGAAACTTCATCAGTTGAGGTGGTTGGGACATGTGTTGCGTATGCCGAACCACCAACTGCCTCGACGAGCTTTGTTTTGCGACATAGGAACAGGTTGGACGAAAGCTAGGGGCGGCCAAAGCATGGCAGAAATCCATGAAGTCATTGACGAGTAGACTTAGCCATTTCGGTAGTTGTCGACTACCTGGTTGGGGTCCGCGAGATTATAATAATCGATGGTTAGAGATCCTGAATGACATGGCTCAAAATCGTTTGCAATGGCGCCGGTGCATTTATTCTTTGTGTTCTCGCAAATCCTAATCTTCTGGATTCTTCAACCTCTCTAGTTTTGACTTTCTAAACTTTTCTCATTGAATCATACTTCTTGAATAATATCTTCTAATCCTAACCTCTCTGATTACTTCTAATACCTTTACTACCTCTACTACTATCGGATTTGAATTGACTATTATATCTCTGTGCTGATGTGGTATGGCAACATGAACTGATGTACTTACGTACGAAGTTCTACGTTGCATCTGACTGACTATGTTATAGTTCTCTAATAATAAGAAAATTTATAAAAAATATAGATGAATGAGAAATTTCGTGAGTGAATTCAATTTCATTTTGAAAACATCTCAAGTCCATTCATGATAATAAATTATCTTCAAACTGAATAAACTCTACAATCCTCCCTTTGCGTACATCCGATAATGATATTTTCTCTAGGTTCTTTACATTTCCTAATGGTTCACGGACAAATTTCTTGCTCAAATATAATTCTAATTGGAATGAGACTTGTACAGGGGTAGTGTTAAGGACGTTATATCCTCAGAACTCGCTTGATAAATGCTTTAGTTTTGGATTTTATGTTTCTGAGCATGGGCTGGTCAGTTGACCTTCAGATTACATTTCCCACTGGGAAAATCCTTGTCTGTGATTGGTTGCTGTGTCATTTTAGTGTACTGTTTTTCTGACTGTCTCAAGGACGTTTCTATGATGTATAAATAAACGCAATTCGTCTGCTTGAGATCATTTTGTTTGCTGGGTGTATGTAGAATATACTTTCTACGTTAGCTGTTTTGAGTTAACGGATCAGAGTTTCCTACCTGGACGCTGGTTCATTGTTTCATTCTTGTTTATCGACTAAGGTGAACCCGTGATAGTTTCAGACATACCTAGTGACGAACCTGACAGTAGGATTTGGGTAAATGGTTTCTGAATTACTATGTAGATTGAACTCATTTCAATAGTAAATGTATCCTTATTAGTAATAACACTTAAAAGTTCAGAAAATATTGTTTCGCTATATCTGCGCAATGCTTAACTACCTTAATACTTACTACCAGGATTCCTGTGTTCGATGATGCAAATTAAAACATGAAGATTTATGTGATACCTAAAATAAATTATGATCTATGAACAATATTTTTTGTTAATGTGATTGCTTTTCATCTCAACTATATTTGAGTCGTTACCGAAGATGTTTAGAAGATTCAGTGTTTCTTTTTTAGGAAACTTTGCAGCAGAAAGCTTGTGGATACTGCAACTAAGTTAACAGATCTTTTGGTTACGGATAAATTCCTGGGGTAACATGTAAGATCCAAAAATGCCTACTACGAAGTTATAAAAAGCGAGAAAAGGCCGTTCTCATACCAGAACTTAATTATAGTTCAAATATCATCGTCCAGATATAACGATATTCTTCAACCGATCCATTTCAGTATTAAATGATCACAATGTATTCTGTATTTGTCTCTGTGTCAACTAAAAAATCTCTCCTCACTATAGATGTATCTCTTATGGAGTTAGGTGTGGCTTTTAAAGCAGAATGAGAGCCTGTTATTTTCCTTTCTAAACACTTAAACAAGAGTGAACAAGCACAACCTCAAAATCAAAATGAGGGTCTAGCCGTGGTATGGGCAGTGGGAAGACTGTACAAATACTTACAATATGGAATTTCATACCAGATAACTGATCATCAGGAGTTGACGCTTATTTCCCACCCAACCATATCACCCAATCAGTTTGCAGCTTATGGTCCAGAGATTGAAATTGGAATTGAATATTTATGATTTTCCCATTGGGTACTGAGTGGCTAAAAGCATACCACATGCAGAATTCTTATCATGCTACTCATACTTGAAAAGGCCATTAGGCGAAAGTGGAGAAAACCAAAGACTATATTATCGACACCTAGACATATATCTAGCAAATTTAGTGAATAGAAAATACACTTATAATCTGGGTGAATATGTTGTGTTTAAATCTGATATAAAATAAAACAACACAATTTCATACCGCGTAATTCAAATCCGAGTTCTTGCTAGCGTCATGTAAAGATTCTAGATCTATTTTGATCATGAATATTTTAAATGACTATTTCGAATTCATGGTGAAACAGGTTCGTTTATTCGAGGTTTAAAAAATAAAAATGACTTAGGAGGGATTTGTCTTTGTTAGCTTCTAAAGAAGCTTCCGATGCTTTACTTGGTTTATTACCTGAAATTGCTAGGCGCAGGGAAGACAGAAGAATTCAGCATACAAAAAATTCTAGTACGAGGAAAACATGGTTGGTTAAATAGCAGCATTCGTTATTACAAACAGTTGTACCACTGAACATTTTACTGTTGTACCGCACTAACATAATCTCACGGTCCCCATCTTGCTTTTGCTGATCTGCATAATCAGCAACTTATCGCCGTATTGCGTTATCTAAATGAAAAGAATACGGATGTAAATCCCAATAATTGTTCATTCTGTGTGTCTGATTTTGAACATGTTGGATACATAGTTGACGGTTAGTTTTAGTCCAGACATGAAGCGACCAGCTCTAATGAGGAATTCATTAACTTCCTCAAGGTACCTGCATAATCGCCCTTGATAACTGAGAAAGTTAGTAACTTATCAATATACGTCCTAGCTTGATATGCTTGAGACTATTAAGAGTTAACTTTACTCGGTAAACAAAGCGAAGACAAATGATACAGTGACACGATAGGCCATTCTAACCGTTTTCCCCGGCCCGGACTAACTATATCAAGAATCCTTAATAAGGCGTAGAAAGTGTCCCCTACAAGCACCCAGAAATACGAAGTCAACAAGGGCACAAACCGAGCTTATTTATACATGATAGAGCCACAAAAATAGCGCACTAAAATAATCCATCGGCCTGTGACAATCAAGGATTTTCCGAGTGGGTAATGTAAGCTGAAGGTCAAATAAGGAGCTTATGCGCTAAAACATAAAAAATCCTAAGTTAGGACCTTTTCCAAGTGCGTTCTGGGGATCTAACCTCCCGAACATAGCTAATGTGTGTTTTTGACCAAGTTCTTCAGGTGGTATTTATTGAGTCAATTTTAGACTCCATGAGGATTCACTGTGATATGGTTACCCTAGCTTCTGCATCTCAACACTGGGTAAGGTAATTTAACAAGGCTGTATATGGCACGATACTTCTGATATATTTGCTATTTCATTAGATGCAAGTCGTGTATAACTTGTCATCTCGAGTTCTTTGCTCACGTAACACATTGTTGGGTATCACCTACAACTGCATCAGTCCTTTATTTTAACGTATCTTGGGCATTCTATAAACTATCCCATTGTAGTTCACATGTTAACTTATATTTTAAGAGAATCCACCATCCCTTACTTAGTTGGCTTAAATCATTTTCTAAGGTGATCATTACCACATTACCATAGTTAACTAAAAGACCATCAGCACCTTAGAAGTTAACTCGTGTTGTGGAAGGGGAGTTTGATAGGCCCTCTTTTATTCGTAATATATATCAACAGCAGTTGTAGAGGCCGTTACTTATGAAATATCCTCCTGCACTCCAATGACATTATGGTAGTCTACTCATGCCACAGAGACAAAGTGTATAACATCACTAATTTTATTCAGCAGACGTTAGATGAAGTGGCAATGTGGTGCAAAAAAAGCCAACTTCACTTCGATATTAACAAGTGAACCGAGATCAATGTTGGTTGCAGCAACCTGGGACTCCATTTCTAAGTCCATAATAAACCAATATACTAATGTGATGCAATCTAAGACTTGGGGTTTAGATACTCGGATGACCTAACTTTTCCGAACACATAGTGTCAACCAGCTTAAGAATGAGCAAAATAATGGGTTGTGTTATTCATAAATTTCATGAGCGAGTCTAGACTGGTACTATAATAAGTCCGGATTCGCTTAGTGCTTTATAATTATCCGTTTATACTCAGCAGCCTTCGTATAGGTAGCGAGTTAAAAATAGAAGGAATGCAGAGACCTCACAAAAATTACTTTGGGGGTGGAATATGACCTGAGTTACCGTGTACGATGTAATACATTGAGGCTGGAAACCCTCTGGAAAAGAAGAGCTAGGTTTGATCTTCCATCATACTTCAAAATTCTACACATATTAATATACTCTTCGAACCTAATTTTAAACTTCACCGGTATGCCGAATTATAAGTTATAAAATTGCACAAAGTTAGTTAACATACAGCGGTGTAAGTCTAACAAGAGGACCTAACTGAGGCGATTCAGGATTTCCTCTTCAGGTAGTAGATCTAGCTCAGAACCAAAAAGCCACACACGTGCCTTCATGTCTGTTGACTTAGATCAGAATCCCGTGATGTAGAACTACGAGACCGACGTCCAACTAATGGGACACGCTACACAATATGTAGGCAGACTTTCAGTTGACCCCAAGAGGCCAGATAAGATAGCACTATTCTACTCCTAGAGTTTCT